CTGCCCCAGCTGTGCCCCCCACCTCCCAGGTTCCTGTAAAAATTAACTCTATCCCAGCTGAACCCAGGACAGGAAAAAATGCTTGAATTTCAATTATGACATCAGTTATTTCTAGAAAGTTTGTCTTAGAAGTCAGCTGGCTTCACACAGCAAGCAGCCATGTACCCTGTGCGTGACTGAGCATCAACGGGGCAGTGAAGATTCTAGAGGACTCCTGAAGGAGTGATTGAACTAGAGCACCACACACGTGTCCGCATATGTTATCTTCCCTGAGTACCACCTTCAAGACCGGATCTTTTGATTCAGCATTATAGTACATTCATTTTTAAGGTGGCAGTTTTGAAAGGGAAAAAAAATAACTTTAGAAAACTTCTGCAAGCTGTGCACTCAGCCGGGGGAAGTGAAGTCCCACCTTTTGTAGGGGCCTGAGGGGCAAAGAAATATTATGTAATCTCTCCCCAAAGCATGCTGTGAACAAACCCCCTGCACATGCATGCACTCAGTCATGCCATCCACATAGGTGTATCCTATTATGGGACTCAAAGATGCAGTATATTGTGCTCACAGGAAAAACTAACACTTAATAGATAAATGAAAAGTGACTGGAAGCTTTAGGTACAGCGCCTAGAAAACAAGCCGCCTTTCTCACAGGGATTTCAAGGCAACACTGTAGGGAGGAAGGAATTACTTCAAGATAAAGCATGATTACACATCATCTCATGAGCTACACCTCACAAAACATATTAGCCATTTTTATCTCCTTTCCACGGTTTGGTATTTACTGTTTATACAATCAGTGGCATGCAGATTCAAGATATAAGCCATAATTAGTTCTTCCAGTTAAAAATACACTGACCATTCCCACACAAATAAGGTCGAATCATTAATGAATTCTGGAAATTTAAAGATAGTGCTTAAACTACTCCTTACAAAAGGATGTACTTCACTAAAATTGCTGGAGAATGGTTTTTCAAATGAAGCAATGAACATTTGGAAATGCGAGACGGTCAATTTTGGGGTGTATGCTTGAAGATCAGAAGAATGAAAATCAGAAATCAAGGCAATATAGATATGTGAGCAAAGAAAAGTGCAAACAATGTGTCCATAGAATTTCATCTTTGCTGTGGAAGCCAGTAAATGCTGCAAGTTATTTGGCCTAGATTTACAGCCCCCCCCCCCGGCCCTGTCAACCATTTACTTTCAAAAAAAAAAAACAAACAAAGAAAAAACATGTTATGGAACAGTAAGGTTGTGCAACTTCTCAAAAGGTCACAGAAAACTCAGATAAAGTGCGACCCCAATAAAACAAACCCACTGCTCAGCAGATACTCTCTCTCCTTCTTTCCACACTTCTTTTTAATAGAAATCATTGTTAACACAAGCTTTTTTATTTGTTTTTAGGTTGTGTTATCACAGTTGCATAGCAATTAGTTAGTAACACTTGCTTGGCCATAACATAAACACTATCTGCCATTCACCAAGCTTCACAACAGAAACTCACCCTGCAGGGACTGGGTTTTTTTGCAAGTTTCATTGTCAATGTAAGCTCCATGGCACTTGCATGTCAGGAGTTACAACTACGAAAGATTTTCTGAGTAACATCCTGTGTGTGATGTACTCGCCCTGTGCTCCATCACACCAAATCACCACAGACAGACCTGTACATCCTGGTTCTTGCAGTTCACAGCCTAGGCTTGGGTATTAACTGGACAACTTCACAATTCACCACTACCTCAAGAGCTACAGGTCATCACAAGTAAGAAAGTGTTCACGTTCAGTGTGGAGGATAAGGTAGGTGACTGGCATGAAACACCTTCCCCATACAGCGGCAGTGTAGCGTATCGATCAGATCAGACAAAACAGCATGCAATCCTTTCAAATTCATCATCTAACCCTGCAGAAGCTCATAACACTGCCTCACAGTGAGATATTCAACCATTGTGGTAGCAGGCCAAAGACATCACCGTCATTCTGGGGGACCGTCTTTCTAGACACTTCTAATTATTAGGAGGCTGAGTAGTCACATCAGGTTCATTTATGCTGAAACAGTGGGGTTTATACCAACACTCAGAGCTCCGCATTTCTGACAAACAATTGGAACGACACGCACAAAAGATTATGAATAAAATTGATCCATCTTCATGAAAATGGGGTTAAACTAGTTTTCAATGCCCTTAACACTAAGCTACGATAATCTTTTAGACATTAGTATTGGCTCACATTTGCAAGATACACTACTTCAGCTACCCAGATGGAAATGCATGCAGTGACAGAAGTTAGGCTTAAAGCACCTACACTCATATAAACCACATTCAAAAGGTAGCAATTCCATCCTCATTTATTATCAGAGTGATTCTTGTAAGACTGCATGTGCAACAGTGTTTTAACCTATGAGGACTTCATTGACGTTTTCCTCACCTATTACTGTGCTTGGACTTTTCACGGTCTTTTTCCTTGTCCTTCTTGTGCTCTTTGTGCCGGTGTTCTCGGTCTTTGTGTTTATCTTTGTGTTTGTGAGAATCTGCAAGCAGAGAGGCAAAAAAAAAATTAAGACACGAAGTTGGGAGAAAACTCCACACCTCCCTCATGAACCTCTGCATTTTTACCCACCCCATACCAGTATTTTCTGTCATTCAAAATTTGTAACAAAAATCTTCGTTTCAGAGGTCCTAAATAGATTCATTGTTCCTGCAGCACAAGTTAATTCATATTGGCAACAGCTACGTTTACATGGTCTTTAGTTCAATGAGCTTTAAATGCTTTACAAACCCTGAAGAAATGCAACCCTTCTTATTAAATAGGTAAGTATGGTTACAGCAAGTTCAATCTTATTTGGCAGATGGGAAACCTAGCTTCCTATGCCTGTAAGTATTTAATGTCAAATAGATTATAAGGATACAAGAACAGATCACAAAGCTGAAATGTTAGGCCTGCTGGATCATAGAATTTAGACTGCTACTTCCACAAGTATGTAGTCTAGACAAACCAGCACCCCCCCCCCCCCCAAATTAAAACCATCTTATTCTTATCCCCAACAATGCATGACATGACAGGCACACAGCAAGGGAAAGGGGGAGTAATGAGGGAAGAAAAGAAAGGGTGAAAAGAGAAGAGGATTAGGAATTCTCTCCTCATGCTTCTCTTCTGCAGGAGACACTTACCTCCCTCTGACAACAGCCCCACCAAGAAAATCCAGCATGACAGCTGTAATGAGTATGTGCTGATCCTAACCCACCTCTACAGGTTAGGACTGGTCCAAATTAAGTGACAGGTCAGAAATGGGAGATGGCACTCAAGTAAATCTACATGAACACAGTAACTTTATTGGTATCAATTTCTACTGCAAGTGACATTTCCCATCCTCAGTGACTACTGTAGTATACAATAAAGTCCTTTAAAGCACCAAGGAAATAGATCCAGCACAGAAAACGAGCAACATAGTTGAATTGTAAATAAAGTAATTCAAAAGCCATTCTTTATAAGTAGATCAAAAAGGAGCTGAGGCTGAACTAGCACCTCAAACCCACCTCAAAAGACACTATCATTTACAGAGAAGGTCACTAATGTTGGGAAGAATGTGTGCATGCCCAAAGATTCCCCCACAGGTTTTGGTGGTTGTGGGATTTTTTTCTGGTTTTGTTGTTGTTGTTTTTTGTTTTGTTTGGTAGTTTTGGGGTGGGGTTTTTTGTTTGGTTTGTTTTGTCTTTTTTTAACATGCTTCTCAAAGTAACTAAAATTAAGTAAGCTCCCTGGGATACCTAAAAGACTGTGCTGACTTTGGCAACTGTTTTCAGCTCATAGGGCGAGAATTTCCACCAGAGATCTTGGATGTAAGGTATTAATGCTTAATTAATTGTAAGGATGTTACTGTGCCTCTAAAAAGGCTACTATCCCTGCACTAAGAATAGGAAACTGCAACACAAGGATTTTGTGACTTTCAGAGTCACATGGGAAATGCATTGCAGAGCCAGGAACAACCCTTATCCTCCCGACTCCAAGTCTTTCGCCACAGATTCATTTTTCTCCTTAACTGACACCAGCTCTTATAGCCTCAAAACATTCAACTGGTTTTAGTGGAAACATACCCACAGTCACATTTCCACAGAATATGATTTTAATCTATTGCTTTCTATAACTTCAGGTACTGTTTTCAGACACCTGCAGTAAGACAACACAGAACAACATATGAATGCTGACATTCAAGCCTCCAACTTGCCTTCTGCATCTTTCCTCAATCCTCCTGAACTTGGTGACACTTCCTAGTGCTTTGGTGTATACTGCAGATACATTTAAAGCACAAGATTTAGTTTTCTATATTTTGATATACAGGCACGTGGCAGGTTATATGGAACACTTGGTGTTACAGCTTAAAACACCTAAGAGTTTTCAAGTACCTAAACAGCAAAATCTATTTCACAGCAGGCAGAGCTTTGCAGGCACACAGGCAAACTGTGTGGGGACCAGACACCTACACTCTCTGAACTGCCAAGAAGCAATTTCTCAGTACCCTTCTTCCCACCAGGACAACACACATTTCACTGGCAAAAATGTTTTTGCAGTGCATTTCACACTTAAGATTCTTCAGTTTAGCCACTAGCTGGAAGCTCAGGCTGTTTGCAAACTGCCTGGGTTTTACTCCACAGAGAGTTTACTCACTGATTCCTAAAGCACCAGCTGAAGTGAACAGCCATCTATTTACACTTGATGAATAGGTAAATTGCTAGAAGAACCATCATGATGCTATACATAGAACTACGTACACTCATTTTATAACATACTTGCTTTTTAAGGAGGCACAGACCAACATAGAGTCAGTTTTTTCTACCAACCAATCGATGGAAAATGTGTGCAACTGGAACTCAATACTATTCTCTTTAGTGCTTAGAACCACAAGATTATTCTTCACAAAAAAAAGCAGAAAAGAGAACAGTCTTTTACCTTCATCACCAGATTCCCTTCCAGCTGACTCGTGCTTTCCAGCTGAAATTAATATTTGCTCTTGAAAAGTAGTTCCTCTGCACTGCTTACAATGATCTGGTATTTTCAGACAATTAAAGCCTGGTACAGCAGCAAAAAAAGTGCCTGACCAGTTAGACTAGCTCTGCTTGCTAGTATTTGTCACCACTCAGCTCTCCTTTGCCGCCTACCAAAGGATTTCTAGTAGGAAGGTCTTTCATAGAGGTATTCTAGCTAAAAGGCAGGCCAAAGTGGCTGGGGAACAGGAGGTTCTGCATATGGTCTTGAATGCAGAAGGGGAAAACTGGCAGGAGAGCTTTCACCCAAGTGCACCCAAGGCTGGAGAGGTACTTGGCCTCTCACACTGGACAATACTTTGAATTCAGTACTTCCATGGAGGTAAGTGTATTACCTCCCAGACATGTCTCCTAAGAATTAAATTGTTCTGGAATATTTGCCTAGTATTCAGACTCAATGGTGTTGCTTTCTGACACAATGCCATGAGGTAGGTTAAGAATGAAGACTTCAAAAGAGCTGAAGTTGCTTCAGTTGAGCTGACATGTGTATGTCTTCAGAAGGCATTAAAGCTCTTGGTCTCTTTTTTTTTTTTTTTTTGAGGGTGAAGCTGGATGAAGTTCAGGAGACTGGGTCATTAAAAAGGACAGAATTCTTTTTTTGGCATATCACACAAAAGCGCTTTGTTCCAGACTGGTTTCATCTAGGAGTCCAAGTTGATGGTTATTTGGTGGCTGACACAAAACAAGTTTAGCCATTTCACTCCAGTTTGTGTACCCGCTTCACAGAAAGCAAAACAGCATCACATCCAACTGAATTACACAGGCAACAGATGACCAAATGGGGAACAAAACTTTAAGACACCGTGGGCCACCTCACACCAAACCTCATCACCACAGAAGCAATCAACAGAAGTGTTCCTGTCTATAATATATCTTCTTTGATATATTTAGCATATTGATTCCTAGAAGAATCTTCTAGCCTCCAGTAACTCTCTCCCAGCTTGCAGCTGGTTAGCAGTTGACTAGGTCCAGTCTCACATGAGCTACAGAATGAGGTCAGACATTATCACGCTTTCAAATTTGTTTCCTGCCTTTTATGTCTTCCATTAAGCATGTCTGCTCCCTCTAACACTGAACAAGGAGATAAATACTATTCCTTCTCCAAGAGCATTAGCAAAATCCATTGTCTACTGTGAGCAAAGTTCAAACCCCCAAAAGCTCCTGTGATATTTAAGGATTTCAGAAATTGAAAAGTCTCTTTCCAGCATCAAGGCTACAGTGGTGACAGGGGTTATGCTCACTGGGTAAGGATCCATTACCCCTAAGGCTCTCCCTTCAGTATCCTCTAACCCAGAGCTTTAGGCATCTCTTCTGTTCTAGAAAGCTTGATGTCTCTGGCACTGTATCTCTGTCTGTTAACGCTGAGCCTGGTATGTCTCCAAAAGATTACCACAGTCCCAGTACTATTCCTGCTATCCCCCTGTACCCCCAACAATCACAAGCAGCTCTGCATTTTTGTACATTGATTCATCTTTCAACTCTGTTTAATTACAAGGATGCCTGATTTAAGGATGGGAAATTCTAAGCACTTTTGGTCTGTGGCTCTGTTTTCTCCCTGTCGTCCCCCACCCCCCCCACCCCCTGCCTTCGCTTCACCGCTAAGTCTCTGGGGAAAGGCTGAGTCATAACCCTATTTGCAATACTTGTATATACGTATTACTGGAACAGTGCAGTTTTACTCTTTATCCAGGAACAGAGCTGTAAAAGGTTAGGCACCTCTAAGTACAGCATGACAAGAACAGAGACGAAGTAAAAGAAAGCCACCCTCCAGCAGGCAGTTGCCACCTGGAGAGGAAGAGTACCAACAGACACCAAAGGCAAGTCTCCTTTCATAATGAGAATGCCCCCTGGCTTTATAGATCAGTCTGGTGACAAAACAATTATGTGGAACTATACTATTTTAATTCATGAGACAAATTCATTTGCTTTTAAAACACTTTTGAACACCACTCTCTGCACCCCACCCCCAAAAGATTACTTACATATCACAATCAATGGAAGTAGGCCTACTTCCTACATTAATATGTCAGTTTTGACACCAATTTTTCTAATAAAATACTGAAATCCCAGAGAGGGGCATGAGTTCTTGTATGCCCAATTGGTGTACAGCTATCAGTATTATTTGGGAGAGTATTACTGGCACATGATACAGGGTGCTAAAGATGTCATTTTATCCCACTTGCATTTTATGCCACTGTTATAATTTTGCACTAGATTTTTTTTTTTTTAAACAAACTGAAAAAAGATATGAGCAACAACCTGACCCTTCTCATTTCTCCTAAATTAAGTGAGCTAGCTGGCAAATTAACACCTGGTAACCCAAATTTCTGGTCAACAGTAGCTTTTCCGGATAAATCTATTAACCATCCATATTTGCTGTCTTTCAGTTCATCTTCTTGTAAGTTCTTGTGGGCACAATTTGAATCCCTCATTAACCTGCTTACAGAAAAGTTTCTGCCAGCAGTCTTTGTTCTTTTGAAATGTTTTA